ACAATCATTTGGAAAAATAGGAATGGAGCAATCTTGTTTTCCTTGAAAAAAAAAATGAATAGTGTTAGATTAGAACTTAAACTACCTACCATACACCAAAAGTTTTTTTTAATAGCACGGGTGTACTGAACTCGATACTCTCTTTTTTCAAAATTAGCAAAATTGGATACCATTTCATTCTATAACTTTTTTAGTATTTCCCTTTGTGTCCTGAAAATTTTCCAATTTGGGGAGGAGTGTATGTACCCCGGTGGTATGGAAAAAGTGTCCCCAAATTAGCGAAATTATTTAAGAGCTACCGCCCCACTCACCACTCAACAATGTTGTGAAACCCGGCCCAATTCGAAACCCGACAAATCAGTTCGAGTCAAGCATCAGACGAGACATATATCAGACCTGGTCAAACCCGGCTAAACTCGGTGACCCGATCGGGTCATACATTTTTATAAAAACAAAAGACAAAAACAAAATAAAAACCATCTTGTATCATCTTGTCATAAAAAAGTGTAGAATTCATTTTAAATTTTTTTGTAATTTTATTTGCTAGTAGTATACTCTTCTACAATGACCTCCAATTTCAACTTCCAATATTAAAGTAATTTGCGGAACAATAAATTAAGAGAATGTGACATATGTCATTTCAATGTAGATGAGTTTGAAAAATATGAGTTCACAATGTCAGACCTTTTGAATGTCATTGAGAAATACGCTATGAGATTCCAAGTTACAATTTAAATTGATATAATAATAGCGTGCATTTTCATTATTTTTGTGCTTTATGAACTTGTAAATGTGTGATTGTGTAATTTTTTTAACTTATCTAGTAAACATTGTTTAACTCATTTTATATATGAAGAATATAATTAAATTTGTATGTTCATATATTTATATACAATGGCTCATATTACTAAAAAAAATTAAGCCGTTAGATACAAACGGAATCAATGGATAAGATTGATAGTGCAATTTACACTGGTGTAAAATGATCCTAACCCCCACACACACATATATATATTTATCGGGGTTAACCGGTCCAACCAGTGACCCAGTACTCTGACCGGGTCGATGCCTGAGTCGAGTTTAATAACACTTTTACTCAGTGGGACAAGCCAATCAAAATCCAACGGTGGCTATGACATATGTATGGAATAAAAAAGATTATTATTATTTTTGTTCAAGTGTCATCAAATGAATAGAAGGGCATATAGTATCATTGCATTGAAAGATCTCTCCCAAATTAGAATGTAAAAATAATAATTTCGTGACAATTTTATCTCTTATACACTCATAAAAACATGTGAGACTCATATTTTTTATTTCTCTCTTATTTTTACATAATCTCACATGGGTCCCATACACTTTTATGTATGTATAGGAAATAAAATTATCTCTTACAACATAAGAAATATTAATCCTATAAATAAGATGGAAATATAATTTCTCTTATTTCTTGAAATCAATTGTTTTATATAATACATAAAAAATGAATAAACTCATTTATTTATGTTATTCTTTATATATATATATATATATATATATATATATATATATATATATATATATATATTGTTGAATAAGATATCATCTTATACAATATAAAAATTTATATCCAAATAAGATAGAATGGACATAAGTAATGTACGCTGAAGTATTATTATTAGGAAAAAATTATTCTTATGCAATGTGAAAGTAATTTTATTTTTAATAGACTTATTAAAAACAGTGATACTCTTTTTTTAATTGGCTAGCCCAATCATATATATGTTTATAACATGATAAATCTTCCCTTATGTAATATGAAATTATATGAACTCTTACTATTATTGTTTTCATCATGATTTTCCTGGCTGGCATGCTCCCCAATCATGATAGTTTTACAAATTGGACACAAGTATCGAGAATACTGCACCGCTCCTCCATTGTGATGATAATTGCAATCTCTGCAACCCATCAGAGAGTTGTTTTCCACTTCATAAAGTTGACTTGAAAGCAAGAGAGAAAATAAAAAAGGGTTAAATGACGAGTACGGTGACAGCCAATGTTTGGACCCTGTGCCTCCATTTTTTTGTCATGTCCACTGCACACTATGAGCTGTACACAGACCATGTACGTGATGTGACTATATGTTTGGGATTTGTTCGGATTTGAATAACTTACAAATGTTTCAATTACTATCAAATGTTTCAATTACTATCAAATGTTTGAATTAATATTCTTAGTATCAAATATTTCAATTATTAATTCATTATCACTTTAATATAACTATATATTTTGAAAAATATATTATTATTATTTTTTTTAATTTTTTCTAGAGATTATCGGTTAAAAAATAAGATTCAACAATGAGAAAGTGATAATAAGTTAGTAGAAAAATATTTGATAGTAAAAATATCTTATTTCCTTATTAACATTATCAATTATATCTAAAGTTAATAAGTTCTACTTGAATAATGATAAATTTTATTACAATTATTTTAAACTTTTCATAACAAAATTATCATATTAATGATTAGCATGTGAAGATTCTTGTTCCCACAAACTACCTACTCAAAACAAATTCAATTTAATTTTCATTGTATGATTTGATTTTAACAATATCTTAATATAATTTAGTTTATAATTTTGAAGTTCGAATAAAACAATTAAAATTATATAGACTTTTTGTTTCGGAAGAATGACCATTTTGCAACACTTGGCAAAAAAATTTACTGCCACGCTAACAGTAAATTTTGCCAAAATGTCACGCTGCACCCTTAGTCGTCGTTGAAGAAGTCTGAAAATAATTAAGAGTTAAGATAAGATAATGCGAATTAGTTATATTTTCAGACTCTTTCAACGACGGCTAAGGATACAGCATGGTATTTTGACAAAATTTACTGTTGATGTGGCAGTCTGGTAATTTTTTTTTGCCAAATGTGACAAAATGGTCACTCTTCCTTTTGTTTCCTTTAATTTGGTTTTGTTCTGGCTCCTTTGGTTAAACATGGTTCGAGAAGTTGTACCCTTAACTCCCCCCCCCCCCCCCCCCCCCAATTTTACATTTCCATGTTTCTTATATAACTTGTATAATGGAAAATTATTGGTCATTTTAAAAATATATAATTTTATTTATTTAAATACATATAATTGTTTATTTTTTTATATTTTCTCTCATTCACTTATGCATTAAAATAATATAATTTTATTTAAAAAAACACAAAATTATGTTTTTTAAAATAATAAATATTTTTCTCTTGTATAAATATATTGTACGGATTATAATAAATGTTTTCACGACAAGAGATTGATATGAATTGAAAAAAAAAAACATTTACAATGAGATTAAACAAGGATAGACGATTCAATTTAATCTTTTGTGCAAGTTTTAGTCGTTTATTTGATTTCCAAATTTTGAAAATAAGCAAGAAAAATGATTTTCTCACATTATTTCCTTTTTATATTTATTACTCACACCTATTAATATAAAAAAACAAATTGTATTAAAAAGTATATTTTCATTTTATTATTTTGAAATATAATATGAAAATAAGTGGAAAAAGACGTACATAAATAACATTAATCCATTTGCAAATATTTAGCTCATATTTCAAACCAAATCCAATTAGATGATCAACACTCGCTTTAATTAGTGTGACAATTTTCAATATGATCCGCTTCGTATGATATATAAAATTTGTATTTGGGTTGATTTATTTTTAAATTCGTCTCGTGTTCATTTTGACAAAAATTGACACAAAAAATTTGTGTTATGTCACATATCATTCTGTAAACACGAAATTAACTTCTTTTAATCTTCTTACATATTATTTATGGGTTCGCTTTTTCTGCAGTTATTGCGGATAACTTATCTGCAGTAAGTCCAATACGATGTCGTTTTGAGCGAAAATCATGGTATTTTTGTAATTTTAATTTATTTCAGAGTTATAATAGTCTTTATATTTATAATTTTTTAAGATTTCAATACCAATACGACGTCGTTTTGAAAATAAATATAGATAAGTTATCTGCAATAACTGCAGAAATATTTTTTCCATTATTTATATTGTGTCATATTAAAACAATATTGATGAAAATAATATTCAATCCGCATAATAGATTATATACTTTGATATTTACAAATTATTTGTGTTACGTCTACTACCATAACAATTGACAAGCTTTGATATTAATATATTATTTAAGTTTTATTGTATTAATTCGTAAAACAAATTATATTGGTTATATTTCTCTTATATTATATAAGAGAAATAATTACATACATAAAAAAAATAATGGATCTCGTCTTTATTTTTTTACCTTTTCTTATCTATCGATTTTACTTGTAATTTTATTTTTATTACATGAGATAATTTTTTTTTACAATATAAGAAAATTAATATCAATTTTTTTGTATCTCATCTTACCTATAAATTTCACTTATAATTTTATTTTTATTATATAAGTAATTCTTTTAAAAAATTATTTCCCATAAAATATATTAATGTCAGAGTTCGATTCATTTTTAAAGTCATATGATATTTGTGTTAAGTATATTTGTATTCATGTTACACGAGTTGTTAACCTCAATCGACACCGACCCCAAATCTTGATCCAAATAATACTTTGACCGGTGAGTTTGATGTCGTCACATGATATGTCATGAATTCTGACACCTATAGTATGGGTTTGGTTCAAATTCTGAAAGGCAGGCCTTGTGTTCAGAAGCATAGATTAGTAGCAACACACACTCTTATGAGAACTAGATATGGTAATTTGGTAGACAAAAAATGTGTAGGCACGTGGGTGGAAGCTGTTTGAATCAGCTTAGGACACAGTGAGGTTTTATTTAGCCAGCCTAACACCTAAACCATTTCTTCTGGTACCGTACCCAACTTTTTCTTATCTCTCTCAACTTCTCATCTTTATATAACACATGATCTTGTAGTTGCTACTTGCTTGGATTAACACTCACTAGCTACCCCTTTACACCTCTTCCATCCTTTCTGGTCCCTGCTCCAGAAATGGCTTCCAAATCCATTCTTATTCTGTCCATTTTTCTCTTGGTAGCCACAAAGGTATACTTCTTTTATTCTACTTTCCACTCAACTCATCATTTGAAAATGAAAAAGAGTTTATTTTTCTTCATTTTATTATGTCCCTTTTTTTTAACTTGAATACCCCACCTTTATTTTTAATATCTTAATGTGCAGGTATTTTCATATGATGAAGATCTCAAGATAGTGGTATGTTTACACATACAAAATTTTCCTTTCCTTTTTTGTTTGATTCCCTTTTGGTATCTGAACATCCTTATTTAAAAGTTCATTTCTCTAACTATTGTCACTATCTGTATGATTTCTTTTTCGTTTTTCATTTATTTATTGACAGTGGAAACAGATTAACAACTCCATGTGGTTTTCTAGTCCTTTCTGTACAATAATGAACATGCTCATTTTTTCGCCTTCTGGTTTTCTTCATAATGCCTTCATATAGAAGAAAATTTAAAAACTAATGGGAGAACATTAAAGAGTATAGTTAAAAGTATAGCACACTAGATGCTGTTTTTCATTACTTTGTATTTTTAGTTAAATCTTCTCAAATTTTCCTACCTAAAGGAAAATTTATACTTGAGATAGATATGGAAGTTATGTTAAATCAATGATCCTAGAAACCCTTTTTTTATTTAATTATGGATAGAATTATCTTACATTTTGTATTTGTATATTCACAATTTCTCATTTTAATTTTGGCTCAGACAAATGTAAAAAAAGCCTTGAGTGTATGATTGTACTTTAGAAAAAATTCATTTTCATGTTATATAAAGCTACAAATTTGGCATTTGGTACACAGGTGAGTCCTTCAAATCCTCCATCACCGCCACTAGTGAAGGCACCAACTCTTCCACCACCGCCACCACCGGTGAAAGCATATCCTCATCCCCCAGTGAAGGCACCAACTCCACCACTACCACCTCCACAGGTGAAGGCACCTCCTCCTCCCCTAGTGAAAACACCTCCTTATCCCCCAGTGAAGGTACCACCACCACCAGTTAAGGCACCTACTCCACCAACACCAGTAGTGAAACCACCTGTTGTTTCAGCTCCACCACCTCCCATGGTTAAATCCAAGAAGGGTAAGTGGTTACTTTATAAAATTCCCTTATATTTAATGATTCATTTTATTTATATATAATGATTCTGATTTATTATATATATGAAAAATCAATGAATAAAATGTGGGGTAAGATTTCTTATATTTTTAAAAAATGTAGTACGATCTGATGAATTAAATAATAGTACTCATTTTTTTTATGGGCAGATTGCATTCCACTATGTGATTATAGGTGCCAAAATCACTCAAGGAAAAGAGTGTGCATGAGAGCATGCATGACCTGTTGTGACCGCTGCAAATGTGTGCCTCCAGGAACTTATGGTAACCGCGAAAAGTGTGGCAAGTGTTACACTGATATGTTGACTCATGGCAACAAATACAAGTGCCCATAGAAAACCTATCTAGTGCCTACTTAATTAAGCTTTTGTAGTAGTAATTAAGTTTGAATTATTTAATTATGTGGTTTGAATTTCTAGTGTATTCAATAACTGAGTAATCAGAAGTTAATTATACATGTTATTGTGTTATTCAATTAGTACAATACTGCTTGTGTTGTCTATGTGATCCTTGTGGTCCAGGAAGAGATTCATATAATTAATACAAGGATGTATTTGTTGTCTGAAATTGAGGACTACAGTCAATGTGAACATGACCTCGGTAAATTTGATTCTTTTTTTGGCACAACTTTCTGAGATCAAAAATATTTTTACTTTATTGCTTTTTCAAAGTCAAAAATAGTTTAATATCTTGATCTGTCCTACAGCTGTCAGAGTGCCTCAATTAAAGTGTACCAAAAAAAAATCAGAATGTCTTAATTAAAGGACTAACAATGGGGGACAATGACCGTTCTGTCACTTTTTAGGCAAAATTTTACCTGATTGTCACTTCTGAAAATTTTTTTGCCAAAATGCCACGCCTGAATCCCGCTGGTCTGACAAGCGGGAATGGACTGGACACGTGTCAGCGTCTGAATGGTGAACCATTCTTGCTGGGCTGCCCAGCTAGAATGACAGAATGCTGACACGTGGTAAAAACACAGGCATTCTCTGGATGTCTGTATTTTTGTCACGTGTCAGTATTCTGTCATTCTAGCTGGGCAGCCCAGCGAGAATGGTTCACCATTCAGACGCTGACACGTGTCTAGTTCATTCCTGCTTGTCAGACCAGCGGGATTCAGGCGTGACATTTTGGCAATTTTTTTTTCAGAAGTGAGAATCAGATAAATTTTTATTAAAGGAGGGGCAATATGGTCAATGTCCCAACAATGGGAGCAGGTGTTGGCCCTCTTTGAAAATGACGTTAGTTATTACTCTGCCAATGAAAAAATGGTCCCTAATGTACCAAGCGGTTTTTGTTGCTATCAAGTTTAGAATGGTTGCTTCGAGTTGAGGGCTCTTAGCGTCCATTTGGATGGGGGCAGAAAATGAAGAAAAGAGAAAATAAAAAGGATATTAACTCTCCTAATGTATGAAAGAGAAAAAAGAAGAGATCATTAAAAATAAAAAGTAATTATGTTTAGCTATAAAAGAGAAAAGAAAATGTAATTACATAAAATGATTAATATGTTCTTAATATTGTTTCTTATATTTTTCTATATGCTTAAGACCAAAACTATTATTTTTGTGAACAACAAATTAGTTAACATCATGATTTGAAATCTGCTGAAATTGTTAACAAAGTATACAAAAATGATCTATAATTACCTTGAGGATTTATTTTGAGATTTAGTCTTAGATTCACTTGTTATGAATCTTATGATTCCTCTAGTTTGATCCACTTGTTATGGTTTTGCTAGTTTAGTTCATTGATAATAGTTCTAGTTTATAATACACCGACACTTTAAAAATCTTAATGTGTCGCGTCTGACACTTTCTGACATGTGTTGTGGACATTCAAATAAGTTCAAAAGTTACGTTGTGTTTTTAATTCTAACTATTAGATTCGTTGGATTACAATTATCATTTTATTGGGTTTAATATGAATATTTGAGATATCTTATGTTTCTTTGCAAAATTAATGAGTATTATAAATTTAGCTTCATTTTTTTTGTTAAATTATTGAATTTTAAATATAATATATATAATATAAATTAAAAATGTTATGTAATATCAAAACATGTTCTACTACGTTGAAGGGGAAGGATATTTGTAACAACTAAGTTTTGTTACTATTAAGTTACTACCAATCAATCTCACCGGTAGATCGATTATGTTGATCTAACAGTTATATTTATTTCTATCTTTGTATGGTCATGATTTCTCAAATTTAATACTTTATATTTATTTCCACCTTTGTATGGTTATGATTTCTCATATTTAATGCTTTCACTTTAAATATGAAAAATCATAAGCATACAAAGATGAAAATAAATATAACCGTTGGATCAACATAATCAATCTAACGGTGAGATTGATTGGTAGTAACATGATAGTAAACAACTTGATTGTTACAATATCATTTCCCTACGTTGAAATCTAACATTTTTATAATTATTGTATCAGAGTATTGTATCATGTCCATGTTGATGTTGATGTAACGTAGATCCCGGTCATGGCTCCTCCTGATCCGCTGATATAAATTTTTCAAGAACACGATTTCTGATTTTCTTTTAAACTTTCATTCTTACCAAAATATCTAGGGAAAACTTCAAAAAAAACCTGAAAGTTTCGTCAGAATCACTTACTCCCCTCCCGAAATTTTTAATCATTTACACCCTTACTTAAATTTTTTTTATCACTTACCCCCTAACTTGATTTTCCATCCAAAATTAAGGTTAACAGAGTTAATTTTTAAAAAAGATACCAAAACTATCCTTAAAAAAAAAGAATTAACCTTTCCATTAACTGAACCTTACTGCTGGGAAGAGATAGTCATTGAGGAGTGGAACCGTGCCACTGCGAGCCTGACCACCTTGACCGCATGGTTGAGATGCCGATCACAAGAAGCTTTGAAGCCCTTTGCAAGTTGTGTGTTTCTGGTCTTCAGACAGAAAATATTCACTTTCATTGCAGAAAAGTAAACAGAATTGCAAGATTTCAATTTACATGATCCCATTATTTGGTGTTTACTGCATATAGAAGGAATTTTAAGATTAAATACTTCATTGATTAAATATTTCAATTCCCTTTCTTGTTTGCTATTCCCAAAAGATGATCCATATATTCATTTGCTTATTTATAGAGCCGTGCAAGAATGTGTTTTTTTTTCTTATCCAAGGGTTAATTTTTCTTTTTTTCTTTTAAGGATAGTTTTGGTAGTTTTTAAAAAAGTTAACTCTGTTAACTTTAATTTTGGATGGAAAATCAAGTTAGGGGGGTAAGTGATAAAAAAAATTTAAGTAAAAGTGTAAATGATTAAAAATTTCGGAAAGGGGGTAAGTGATTATGACAAAACTTTCAAGGGATTTTTTGAAGTTTTCTCAAATATCTAATCAAAAACTTAAGAGCTATAAAGTTGTTAGCATTTTTATCGCAGACCATGTTACACAGAGAGAGAGAAAAAAAACCTTTGAAAGGTTTTGAGTTAAATGGGCCGGATCAAAGTTGATGTTTTTACATAAAATGGATAACAATGATCTTATCCGACAAAATTATGATATGGAAATGCCCAAAAAAAAGAGGTTTATAAAGTTGTGTTCAGGCCCAAAATAAATATGAAGTAAATGGGCCTCTACTATTAGTAAAGTATCAATCATTTAAATTTGCATAATAAACTATTAATTCAACAATCATATTGTAAAGTTAAGTATCATTTCAAACGTAAAATGCGGGTCCTCTCCAACTCTACCTTTGTTCAAGTAAAAGTCTCAACTCTCAACGAATCATAGCCATTAAAAGCTTATTTGATACAATTATCTTAAGTTAAAATTTATTTATTGATTATATAGAACTGTTATGAGGGTTTTCAGAAACGAAGATAAATAATTTGTTATTAAAATGGATCATTAGGACAAAGAGTAAAATTAAAAAATGCAAAATAAAAGTGAACTTAAAAAATAAATATGGAAACCCTAAAAAGCTAATATATATCCTTAAAAATGTTTATTTTTGTAAGTTTTTAACTTTTATTATTTTATTCATTATGATAAAAAAATCCTTTTTATAATACGAATTTTTGTACAAACATTTTTAACTAAATTTGTGCTTATAAAAAGAAAGAAAAATTTAAAATAAATTTTTTCGAAATAACACTAAAAATTCATAAAAATAAATCCTCTCATATTAAAATTTCATATGATTTATTTATGTGAAAATTTTAATATCTATCACTTTTTTTTATCAAGGATGATGAGAGTAAATCCTCTCATGTTAAAAATTATGAGTTTATAATATAAAGAATTATAACTATATAAAAATAGTTCAATAATAACAAAAGAAAACAATAGTATTAAAATACAATTATAAAATCATTATTATTAATTCACTTTTATATAATTATAATTTTTTCACATAATTATGTCATATTTTCTTTTAAACATGAGAGCATCTATTTACTCTTAAACTTTTTAGCGTAAAATATTTTTTGATCTCTAAAAAAAAACATGATTCTTAATTTTGTTGCATGAAAAAAAAGATCAATATTAATAATTTTTTAAAGATTAAATTAAATCTTCAATAAATTTATGAAGAATCACATTTAAAAAAAATTAAAATTATAGAAGAATTAAAAGTTACATTTTCTTTGTAAGAACAAAATAATGACAGTATTTTTTATTAGAACACAAAGAAAATTTACTCTGTTTCTTAACACCAAAATTCATGTATCAAAAGTGAAGTGCCCAATACGTCACAAATGAATTAATATCCACTAAAAGATATTTCATTCCGGGCTTTCTCTCTCTTCCTTCCTCGTTTCTCCCTCCCTTCAAGAAACCAAGAGTTCATGGAAAAAAACCCAACCTAAACCTTACCCCTTTTCGTGCATCACTTGAGGGTAGTCAAGAAGGAGAGTTTTGGGTCTCTCGCAAGCTGAAGCTTAGAGGTAAGGAAGTTTAGTTTCCTTTGATTTCCTTAACCTAGGGTCGGTAAAAATGAGGACTTTGGGATACAAGTTATCATAACTAGCCCCGCATAAGGTGTATTTCATACGATGGTTATCTTGTTATTATTATTCTTCAATCTGCAACGCGTTATCATGGCAGTTTCCTAGTACCATCTTCGTTTTATAAGATTTTTTTTATTTTTTAGAAATTTTTTTAAAGGAGAAGTTACTTTGTAGTTTATATCCACTTAATTATTAAACTTGTTATCTACGGTAGTTCATCTTTGTGTTGCACTTTAACTGTATTTTAATGCTATAACTTATGCAATACACCTTCGACGAAACCCGACAGAAATTTCTTCTTGCTACTTTTAATGAGTATTAAAAGCATTTTTTTTTTATTTACTGTTAACTGTAGTTAGGTTTATTGTAACCACATTTGTTATAACTATAGTTAGATTTCTATATTAGAGATGACTTTACTTTTAACTTTGCTTTTTCTGTCATATGAAAAAAATACTAAGCTGGTTTTCGTGTCTGTTGCTTCTGTAATATTCGTTGAGTATGAAATAAAACTCCAGAAATTCCTTCTTCTTTCTCAAGTTTTCATTCTGAATTTGTGTGGTAAGAACTTTCGCCCCAGAATTTTTTTTTTAAAATAAATAAATAAATAAATTGACTTACCCAAACACCTAAACACCTATTCTTTGTTCTTAAAAAATAGTTTTCTGTCCAAGAACTTAAAAACAAAGTAAAATTTATTTGGTTATCAACTTTTTTTTATCATTATAAAAAAGGGAAAATATTATCTTATGTTGTAGGAGAGTATTTTTCTCTCCTACACATACATCGACTTCCGTGTTACTTTTTTTTCTTTTTCTTTAAGTAAGTGGGTCCCACTCATAACTATCTCTATGACATAAGAGAGCTTCTCTTATTTCACATGATATTAATAAAGCCCTATGAAAAATTGGTTTTCATAATTTATTTTTAAAATAAAAAATAGGAATAAATTAAAGTTTTCCGACAACATTGACATATCTCTTAATTTATGGTTTGGATAAAAAGGTTGGCGTGTAATAAAAGCATTTTTTATTTACTGTTAACTGTAGTTAGGTTTATTGTAACCAGAGCTGTTGTAACTATAGTTAGATTTCTATACTAGAAGTGACTTTTCCTGGAAAATGCTGAACTAGGTTTTCGTGTCTCTTGCTTCTGTAATATTCATTGATTATGAAATAAAAATCCACAAGTTTTCTTCTTCTTTTTCTTTCTCAGTTTTTTATTCTGAATTTGTGTTGTAAGATGGTATCAGCAGATTTGTTGACTAACCATGTTGCCTTCTTTGCATGGCCTCAACCTTTTCCTCTTGTTTTCCAGTGAGTTTCCTATGGTTATGACATAGTGTGAGTGTGACTCTTTGCAACACTATTAATAACCGTCATAGCATTTCTCTTCCTCAACCTTCTTCATCTGTATCATTTGTGAACAATACACTGCATCACAACCTGCTACTTCAAAGTTGCTTGTTCTATCTATTTCGGACCATGATGCAGTCTCAGTTGTATGTGATAAGTGAAATATTCCTTCTTTTTTCCTTTTTTTTTTTTTTTGATTTTGGTTTATACGTGAAAAACCTATGAAGCACCGACACTTCAAAAATCCTAACGTGTGTGTCCGACACTCTCAACACTCCGACACTCCAACACGAGTTATAGAAATTCAAAAAAAAGTTCAAAGATTGTGTTGCATTGAGTTTTTAGTTCCAACTATTACATTCGTTGGATTACTATTACCATTTTATTGAATTTAATATAAATATTTGGGATATCTTATGTTTCTTTGCAAAATTTATGAATATTATAAGTTTAGATTCATTTTTTTGTTAAATTATTGAATATTAAATATAATATAAACTGCATAAATAAAAAAAATTATTTAATTTCATAACGTGTCGAAATTTAACATTTTTTAGAATTAACGTGTCGATGGATTACTATTACCATTTTATTGAATTTAATATAAATATTTGGGATATCTTATGTTTCTTTGCAAAATTTATGAATATTATAAGTTTAGATTATTTTTTTGTTAAATTATTGAATATTAAATATAATATAAACTGCATAAATAAAAAAAATTATTTAATTTCATAACGTGTCGAAATTTAATATTTTTTAGAATTAACGTGTCGAAGTGTCGTATCGTGTCACGTGTTGGTATCGGTGCTACACAGTGAAAAACCATAATAGAAAATAACATGAACTACTGATTCTTGTATTGTGTTAAACGTCACTTCAACTCAAAACCTTAAAGCATCGGGTGAGGTTAAATTAATTATTTTATATCTCTGTAACACATCCTCTCACGTAAGAACGTAAGAGTTTGTTGGGCTTGAAGCGTGCATATGGCACAAGCTTATTATTGGTCTACTTTTTGCTTTTCTTAATTCCACCTGAAAGTGGAGGTGGTGAGGATCGAACTTGTGACCTTCTGGTCACTTAAGCTGTGATACCATGATAAACGTCATTTCAACCTAAAATCTTAAGGCATTAGGTGAGGTTAAATTAATTATTTTATATCTCTTTAACATATCGTTACTTGTGTTAAATTTTGTGTCATTGTGGTTGCAGATTTAGCAGTGGAATGGAACTTGCAACTTTTGTGACAGGGTCTGTTCTTCTCCAAAGATCCTGGGATGTTATCTCGTCTCATCATGCAGACATCCTTTCTAATGTGGGAGTGGGATTATCATGGAAAGTTTATAAAGAACCGGTTTCGGATTTGACCATTATAGCATTTGAGGCCACATCAGATACTAATCTGCAAGTGGATTTGGTTTCATATTCTGATATCAGGGAGAGGAATTTTCTTCACTTTGACTTTCTTTGTACAAAAAGTAATCCTTTCTCTATTAACAACACTGTAGTTTCCCTCTTTTATGAAAATCATCAGAAGCTTGATCAGTTGAAATCCGAGGTACATCTACTACTTTCCCTTTTCATTATTTTAAGCCCATTTTGATTTCGCTTTTGAAAATTTTCAAGCTGAAAAATCCGTAATGTGGATACTAAATTGTATCTTTGAACTGCATGATAAACTATAAGCAATGGCCTTGACAAAAAGAGACAAATCAGATTGATTGTCCTGCATGGATTAGTGCTTGTTGATTTTCTTTTCTAAACTAATGAATGAACCGATGATATATATAAGAGATGACATCCTAAAGTCTTACATATGCATATTGGTATGTTTATATTTTGAAAGCAGTTGTACTTAACGGTTCATTTCTTCACTCATATTCTTTAACCACTTGTACTGTTAATGTTTTTGTCCTTAAGTTCTTTTGTTAGGGATTACTACCTACAAACTTCAGGGTGTTTGGGATAAGAGAGATAATTTTTCATTAAACTTATAGCAATTGTGGGGTGAATTTAGCCTTAGGAATAGTGTAGATTTCTACATGTTTATAACAATCTTCATGCAGATCAATAGCTCCAAACCATTGATTGTTACCGGACATGCTCTTGGAGGATCAGTTGCTTCTCTCTTCACTATATCACTATTAAATAGCATTGGTTTAGGAAAGAATCGCCCACTCTGCATCACCTTTGGTTCACCCCTTATTGGTGACAAGGGATTGCAACAAGCCATATCACGTAGTTCTAATTGGAATTCTTGCTTTCTACATGTTGTGTCGCACAAAGACCCACTTCCAAGGCTTTTTTTTACAAACTATAGTTCTCAAACCAGTTCCTACATGCCTTTTGGAACATTTTTCTTTTGTTCTGATGAAAATTCTACTTGTTTTGAGAACCCTGATTCTATTTTGGAAGTACTAGTGGCATTGGGCTCTATCCATGATCAAAATCAAGAATTTCAGTCTATGGATTATGGAAATATAGTGGAAAATCTCAATCATAAAGCAATTTGCAAGGACTTTACAGTACAGGCTAAAGACATGAATTATTCTAATACACTGCATGCAAGTATCCATTTGCAATTGTGGGGGCTAGGATTCACACCACATATGCAGGTAGCTGAATATGTTTTATTTCTAAAATAACTTTTATAGTAAATGTGAACCTTACTAGAAATTAGATTAGTATTTGGTCAATCCAATTTTTCCTGATCTCTTTTCTAAAACTGATTTGGCAGGAGCAACAACATCAAAACATTATCAATAATTTGGTAACAATGATGGAAACTATCATTTTCCAGAAGAGGGAAACAGTTGAGCTATCCAAGAAATTGAATTTAGTGAAGATAGACATGGCCCAACTTGAGTGGTACAAGAAGGATTGTAAAGATAGAAACATAGGGTACTATGACAGCTTCAAGAAGATGCTCTTAAAAAGTGACCTAGATGTTGTTAAGTTCAAGAAAAACCTCATAAATTACTGGGAAAATATGGTTGAAGAGGCAGAGATGAAGCCTCAGAAAGAAGGCTCAAATTTTCGTACCCGCTGGCTTGGTGCTGGGACTAATTACAGGAGAATGGTTGAACCACTTGTTATTGCTAAATACTATAGTGAGGGAGGTAAAGATTATGTGACTGAAAAAAGGTCCAAACATTTTAAACTGTTGGAGGATTGGTTAAAGGAAGGAACAACAAAAGCCACAAGTGACTTAAACAGTACAAGTAAGAAGAATGTGGAAGCTCTTTTAACCATAGATTCTTGCTTTTGGGCACATGTTGAAGAGGCTCTGCTTTTGTGCAAACAGTTGAAGGATGCACAATCTAGCGTGACAGAGAAAGAAGCAGCCTGTAGGAAATTGCTTGAATTTGAGGAGTATGTTTATGGGTTGCTCAAGAATTATGCTGTGTCAATAGAGATTTTCCTGAAAGAAAGCAGCTACATGACTTGGTGGAATGAGTATAAGGCAATTAAAGGAACTTCATATGATTCACCACTCGGTAGCTTCATGAACAATGCTGAAAATTATAATGTGAAGTATGCTGGGAATACTTATAATTTCTGCTGATGTGCATATAATGTAACAGTAAGTTAGGATCTTATCTCATCCTGTAACCTTCTTATGTATTTCGTTTGTTGAAATTGGGTTGGGTTCTTAGTTTCCTGCTTTGTGTTGTGATACTGGAAGTTCTTACAATTGTCCTTCCCTTCTAAATTATGGAGAGAGTTATATTGACAAACTTTTTTTCTTACAAACTTACAAACTATACTAAATCTGACTAGTCATAAATTCTTGATTGAAGTATGACTAGTCAGACTTAATATAGTTTGTAGAAAAAATAATTTGTAAGAAAATTTTTTTGTTAATATAACTCCTACCGTAAACTATTACTTTCCTTGTTGCAAGTTTAAGCGTGAGTATAATGTATGCTTGTTAATTAATATTTATATGAAATGCCATGAATGAATGCAGGGTTTACTCTTTAAAAGTATTATTTCTGACACTTTAGATAACATCTTAAAATTAATTTAATATATCATAACCCCCTGTTATATTTGTGAAAAATTATAAATAACAGTATTACAAGAAAAAAGTGATAATAGGTATATTTATATATAAAATTATGTAAATTTAATATAATACATGTATAAGTGCAATACTGTTTTATCCCATTCACATTTCTCCTTTTATAAGATGAAGCTCTATCTTTTTATTATTATTATTATTAGTATTTGTGTATAGTTACAACTCGATTGGTGTTATGACAATGTTTTTAATATATATATATAGAGGTAGGATCTTTTGACACCGGTGTTAAATTTTAAATTTGACACCTCATCTGAGAGCTGTTAGATCAAAAAAGATCAATGGTGTTACATGCTTACAAATCAGAGTCGTTGATCTTTTTTGATCTAACGGCGTCAAAGGATCCTAACTCATATATATATATATATATATATATATATATATATATATATATATATATATATATATTTCTGGTGTGGGGATCAGAAATGCTTACAAATAATATTTGATAAAACTAATTTTTTTTTCTGGATAATGAACCATAAAAAATATTTTTTTTATTCTTAAACACGTTATTCATCAAATACATAAATAGTAAATTGTGTCTTCTGAATCGAACAGACTATTTATTAAAATATGTATTTTATATAAGTGAGAATAAAAACAAATTATGTTATAAATATATTTTTGCCCATAAATTTTTCTAAAGACAAAAATAAAAAAATTAAAATTAATTCTTCCCAAGAATGATTATTGATACACACTCAGCTCAAAACCTCATATAATTAGAGCTTACGTGCTGGTTAAATGAGTTATTGGTTGAAATGCTTAAATTTGAATTTGAGAATTTGCAAGATGGAAAATACTATACTTAATTTGGATTCTAATTGAACTGTGGACTGTGTGAACAACTTTTTTTTATTTCACTGCAAATCTAGAAATTGATGTGTGGACTGATGCAGGTTATTAACAATCTTGTGATTGAGCTGTTTGACTTTGCAATCAGTCATGAACACCAAAATATCAAATTGATAGCTCTACTCTATCTTTTAAAATGAAAAGAAGAAAGAAGGAAAGGAAAGAAGAGAGGGGATCTTATTTTTCATATAAGTAATAATATTATCGGCATATTGCTGTTTTTTTAATTTGCAAATATAGTTCCTTATCCATAAGCAGTGATCATGACAAAGAGTGACAACTCTGTAGCACGAGCAAATTTGTAGAGGTCCCGGCCCAATGCACCTTTTATGAGAGAGAGGAGAGGAGAGAGGAGAGAGGAAAGAGAGGAAGATGGGGGAGAGAGGACCAGGGAAATAATTTCCCTGTAGCACCGAGTGCTGTACTTCCATCCAAGTTTTAGGTCTTTTGACTTTGGTGATGTAATTTTTATAATATTTGACCGGAATAATTTCTTGGTCAAACATTTTACTTAAATAATGCATAACGACCCGTTAGGATAGGGAACGTATTAAAACATGACACAATGGGTATCGCGTTCTGTGCAAGTGTCAATCATTAGGCTGGCACGTGTTACTCTCACAACCGCGTCCCATGCAAAATCATTTACAATCATTAGATGAATATGTATAATAGTCAATAGAGCTATTATCCCCTTCAATCTTGCAGAGCATTAGAGGATTACTTTCAGTCCAGTTTATGCCCTTGCAATTACTTCACATTATGCTTTGACCACTTGGCCTTTGTATATTGTAGGAAGCTGTATTTTTTTGTAAGAGGAATTATGTAGATGCATCCATTAATGCAATCACAAACATTTCGTAGTGCTGCCGAGCTTTTTGTAGGAGGAATTATGTGTTTTCTTAATTATATCATTGCTAATGTGTTGGATTTTGTGTCTTTTGTGGTTGCAGATTTCAAGGTATAATGGGGCTTGCACCTTTTGTGACAAGTTCTGATCTTCTCCAAAGATCATGGAAAGTTATCCGGGTTCTTAATGGAGGCATAGTTTCAAAAGAGGGAAAGGGAGTGTCATGGTTTCGGTATGTTAACGAAGATTCATGTGTGACGATTATAGCATTTAAGGCCACACAATATTCTGTTGTTGAACCGGGTTTGGTTAAATATTCTGATCTCAAGGAGAAGAAGTTATTCCATGACTTTGATTTTCTTCTTCCTGTTGAAAGCAATCCAAGTTTCTCTGTTAACAACACTGCAGTTTCCCTCTTTATTGAAAATCTCACTGAGCTTAATAAGTTGAAATCCGAGGTACATCTCCTCCTTTTTTCTTTTCATTATTCTAAAGTCTCTTCCGATTTCAATGCAAATCTAGAGAATGATGTGTGGACTGGTTGGTGTTATTTAAAATATGCATATATATATATATATATATATATATATATATATATTTAGATTTTAAAAGCACATCTACTTTGTGTGCATGCGGAGTGTGCGCCATACCCAACACTACCTTGTGTGGGAGAAAAAAATGTGGTTAATTTTTCAATTAACCTTGTAGCAGCAATAATGGGCTAAATTTCTTCTTAAAAATAGTATAGATCTTCTATATGTTTCTAGGCATATAACGTTACTTGTTCCCCAGTAAACCCTTATGATACAATGCAGATTAATAGCTCCAAACCATTGATTATTACTGGGCATGCTCTTGGAGGATCAGTTGCTACTCTCTTCACTATATCACTATTAGATAGCATTGGTTCAGGAAAGAATCGTCCACTCTGCATCACCTTTGGTTCACCCCTTATTGGTGACAAGGGATTGCAACAAGCTATATCTGGTAGTTCTAATTGGAATTCTTGCTTTCTACATGTTGTGTCACACAAAGACCCACTTCCGAGACTCTTCATTACAAACCATGATTCTCAAACCAATGACTACATGCCTTTCGGAACATTTCTCTTGTGTTCTGATCAAAATTCTGCTTGTTTTGAGAACCCTGGATCTGTTTTGAGACAATTCGAGGTATTTGCCTCAAATGATGGAAATCAAAGTTCTCAACCTGTTGATTATGGTGAGATAGTGAAAATACTCAATGTAAAATGAGAGTAGTATTTCCCTTAATTAATTCAGTTGTTCCTTTTTGTTAAAACTTTTTTCTGTTCTTTCTTGTTCTCCTGCTGCGATAGCTAAGATAGAATTTACTATCCTTAACATAATCTTTCATGGTCTTCTAAAATATGAAACAAGTATCTTGTCATCGTCTGTAAATTTTGTTCCCTTTCTATAATATTATTTGATTAATTAAAATTTGCATAATAAGTTACTAATTTAACAATCATATTGTAAAGTCAAGTATCATTTCAAACGTAAAATTTGGGTCTCTACATCTCCACCTTTGTCCAAGTGAAAGTCCCAATGAATCACAGCTATTAAGAGCTTCTTTGGGAGCGCATCTTTTATACATCTGTAGTAGGTATATCTGTCATTTAACAAGTGACATTTGAATAAAAAAAATATTTTTCTCTCCTTTCCATAAAGCATGACAAACATTTATTATTTTTTATTGGATAGATGTACAGAGTAAATGGTACAACAGTAGTACCATAAATATTTTCCTTCTTTGGATACTTTTTTTTTTTGGTGAGGTCTTTGGATACACTTTATTTTAAGCTAGAAACTACTTATAAGCTAAAGCTAAAAAAAGAGCTTAAAAAAAGTTAAAAGCTATTTGATAATTAAATATAATTTTTAGCTTAAAAGTTACTTAAAAATTTCAAGAAAATTACCTCTCTTTATTTTTATAGCTTTTTATTTAAATAAAACACACAATTCAAGAAAAGTAATAAGAGTTTAAAAAAAAACTCCTCTTAAGAACTTTTAGCTCTTAACTTTTTTTTTTTCTTTATAAAAAAAAGAGCTTTTTATTATAAGAGTTTTTTTCAAAATCTGTTTGACCAAATTTATACTTATAAATAACTTCTAACTTAAAAAATAAAATAAAAAAAATCGAAACAGACACTAAAAATCACTGTGGGAAAAAACCACTAAAATTGGTCTAATAAAAGATTTGGAAAAATTATTTTAAATTATGTGTTCAATTCCTGTATAAAAAAAAAAGTGCCCAATTGATTAAAAATGAATAAAGTGACTCTCCATCTTAGTTTATTGATGGATGACTCCTCTATACAAGTCATCATAACTAGCCCCACAAAGGCGTATTTCATACGATGGTTTACTTGGTATTATTCTGCAATCTTCAACGCGTTACCATGGCAGTTTCGCACCATCTTCACTTAATGAGAATTCTACTATATAAGATTTTATTTTTTCTTAAAACTTTTTGATCTCGATAAAATATAGGCTCAATCAGGGCCCAACGACACATAAGGAAGCCCAAACCCATTAAGGTCCCAGAGCAAAAAGCAAGGGACGAGTACAGCGCGCAATATGCGATGCCCTCATCGCGACAGACCAGACGCGATGCCCACATCGCGTATGAAATCCCCTTTAGGAAGTAAACTTAAGGCCCAAGGCAACCCCACCGCGCCTTGACTCCAATAAATAACGGACAGCTCCAGCTCGCCACGACTCTGCCACTAGACACTATAGCAAATAAGGCTACTCAGGTCCCCTGACTAACCTGCAGCCCAAGCCTGGCCACTCAGAAGCCAAGCCGCCTTAACTAAGGCGGCATTGCAGCTACTATATAAGCAAACGATATACCACCAAGGTACGATCATCCTTTACATTAACAACATAAAACATCTGTCTCTGATACTGACTTAAGCATCAGAGTGTTTTCTCACAGGTACCCTATTTGGTGTTAACACGCCAACGTAAAGGACAAAGGCAAGGCACGATCCACTACGTAACTCCAAGCCTAGACCGAAGAACTACGCAGACTACTCAATGCAGACTACTCAACCGTGTGTGATTGGGCTCAGTACATATTGGCCCGTCCATAGTGTATTTGGTCTGATCACTTTTTAAAGGAGAAGTCATTTTATAGTTTATACCACTTAATTATTAACCTGTTATCTACACTGATTTATCTTTGTGTATCACTTTAACTATATTTTAATGCTATAACTCATATGCAATCGACCTTCAATGAGCCAACAAAAATTTATTCGTCCTACTTTCGCCTCAGAATCTCTTTTTTCAATAAATAAATAAATAATTTGACTTACTAAAACACTATACCAAAATTGTTCTTGATAATACTTTTTTGTCCAAGATCTAAAAAATAAAATAAAATTTATTTGGTTATCAACCTTTTTATATTGCTATGAAAAAAAAAGGGTTGACGCGTGTTGACTAACCATGTTACTTTCTTTGCATGGCTTCAACCATTTCCTCTTCTTTTCCAATGAGTTTCTTATGCTTATGACAGTGTTACTCATCACTCACTATTAATAACCGCAATAGCATTTCTCTTCCTCAAACTTCATTTTTATCATTTGTGAACAATACACTGCATCACAGCCTTCTACTTCAAAGTTACTTGTTCTGTCTATTCACACCATGAGGCAATCTCAATTGTATGTGATAAGTGAAATATTCCTCCTCTTCTCTTTTTTTTTTTCTGTTTGATTTTGGTGTATGGGGTTAATAGTACGAGATAAATTTTATCTCCTACATACACATAAAGTATATAGGACCCATATAGACTCATGTGAGGAGAAGAGAGAGAAACAGAAAACATGGACTCACACGTTTATGTATACATAGGAGATGAATACGCAAAACATGAGAAACAATAAACACTTCTTTATACGTGAAAAACCATAATAGAAAATAACATGAACTACTGATTCTTATATTGTTAGTTGTGTTGAATTTTGTGTCATTGATGTTGCAGATTTAGCAGTGGAATGGAACTTGAACTTTTTGTGACAAGTTCTGTTCTTCTCCATAGATCATGGGATGTTATCTCGTCTCATCATGCAGACATAGTTTCAAATGTGGGAGTGGGACTATCATGGAAACAGTGGCGTAGCCACCTCCGCAGCAGCAGGTGCCTTGACATTAATCAAGGTTAAAATTATAATTTGACACCACATGAATAGAAAATCAAATGCTCAATACAAAGTAACAACAAATTATCTAAATGTAAACAAATAATAAAGAGCGTACAATATGGTTATTTTTTATCTTGTATATTTGTTTTTGTCGCTTTATTCTAATTAGTTATGCTATTTATTCTTTTTCCTATTATTTTAAAAAAGAAAGGCTTCTAAACTTAATCACAAAAATGATTAGTTGACCTATTTCAAAATTTGACCTCAACTAAACCAAATAAACCCCCTTAAAAGTAGGGAAAAGAGTTTGTCATTTTAAAGGACAAAACCTCGTGTCCTTTTAGTTTTTGACATTATATCTTACTGGTAACACATAGCTATAATATGAAGAAATTTTTTTTCTTTTTCCTCAGTCACTTCAACTGACGTGTAGAGAGAGAAAAAAAAATAACTTTTTATAAAAATAACTTTTTATGTTATAACTATGTCTTATCGATAAAATATAGTGTTAAAACTAAAAGAACACAATTAGTGTCCTTCAAAAGAATACACACTTAACCTTTGAAAGTAACAATCATGAAACCAAATGAATAATACGTCTATAGTTATGAAATATGAAGGTCCATTAAACTATTGTATTTCGGGTTATTAGACACACAAAGAATAGTCAAAAACCTAATTCCGTTGCAAACAAGGCCGATGTTCTCTAACGAGAAAATATTGAAAATTTAAGAAATAAAGATATTGAAAGACGAGACGAAGGACAATGCTTATTATATATATAATTAGGGATTTGATTTTCTCATGTTGCATGAGAATTCAATTCTCATATTGTGACTCAACTAGTGGTGGGTCCCACATTTATTAAAAAAAGAAAAAGAAAAGAAAAGATTTGCACGCAAATTGAAGGGTCACAACATGAGAATTGTCATGTAACATGAGAAAATGTTTTCCCATATAATTATTATATTTATGTGTTTTCATATCCTTAGGACAATGTTTGGTTCATTACTTATTATGTTGTGGGAGGAAAGTGAAATTCTTATGTTTGAAATGTTTACAAAAAAAGTTTGTGCATTTTATATATTTGATTTGATATATAATCAATGATAATTGTTCATTTGAATTTTTAATTTTATGTGATATTATTTAGTACATAATTTAGATAACTATGTTAGAATTAATATTATTTTTTTTTCTGATAAATTTGTGTAATTAAAATAAATATTTTAATAATTTAATATGCCAAATTTTTTGATAAAATTTAAATTTTGAGACTGACTCCACCACTGCATGGAAAGTTTATAAAGAACCTGTTTCGGATTTGACCAGTATAGCATTTGAAGCCACATCAGATACTAATCTTTAGCTGCGATAACTAAGATAGAATTTGCTATCCTTAACATACTCTTTCATCGTCTTTTAAAATATGAAACAAGTATGTTGTCATCGTTTGTAAATTTTGTTCCTTTCCTGTACAATTTGTTCCACTTGTGTGAATTGTGGCAGAATAAATAAATATACTTTCAACTAAGGGTGTGCAAAAAAACTGGTTCACTTGCCCTGTGATATGCATTCAACATATAGGGAAATCTAAGCCAAAAAGAGAAAGAATATTGATAAAATCCTAAGCAAAAAAGGCAATAATGACTGTTGATTTGTTAAAATCTCAATCAGAGATTGTACAACTGATTTTGTGTTGATTTCATAGGAAAAACTGGAGCTAAAAAGGAAAAGGCTAAACTGAAGGCCCACGCTAAGAGCGTGGGAATGACGCTCACAGCATGAAGGAAGCTTTTCATACAGAGACTACCACGCTACTAGCGTGGGATTCACGCTAGTAGCGCCAGAGATCAAAAACAGGCAGAAGCTACCACGCTACTAGCGTGGCACTGACGTTAGTAGCGCCAAACTTTCAAGCAGTCCACGCTTGCAGCGTGGGAACCACGCTAGTTGCGTGGAGCTCTAGGATTCTTATCAAAACTCCCACGCTCACAGCGTGGGAACCACGCTAGTGGCGTGGGAGGTGCGGACCAATCATCATTAAATCCTTTTTAAATCAGAGACAAGATTGCACTGAGA